CTTCTCCGGTGAACTGTCAGCTCGGGTCCTGTCGTTCTTTCAATAAGAACATTCTAAAACTAGAAAAACAGCTAGATTCAGAAGATAATTTTTTTAAATAGATTTTTGCTTTGTCATAAATCCTAACGCGAAAGCCTTCTTATCCCAGTTTATACCTTCTTAGTTACCACAGCAATACACCTCGTTCCAGGCTGCCTGTAGTTTCTAGTCCAGCAGGCACTGAATTAAAATCACTGGTTAAGAAATCTTCTATAAAAGCTTATTATTATGTATTTTCAATTTGTAATGATTCTTTCTGCTGCTTATTTTTTACCAATGTTAAGCGATTGTCACATCTTCTTCTTCTGGATTGACCACATCGTCAGGCTTGCCTGAAGCGTTCACTGCAGGTAAAAGCCACGCTTCTCCCATGGATCATGAGACACCCCATGGTCTCAGGTGAAGTAGGGTTGTTTCCCTACAGTGCCAGTCTGACTTGATGGCAAGTTGTTCAATGCAATTTTACAACTACAGTAAACATTAACATTTGTGTGAATTTTTAAGATTTAAAAACATGACAAAAAACACCAACAAAAATATGAGAGTTGGAAGCAATTTTGAGCTTGTGATGGTCACTTTGGGCTTAGTCCCTAGTCTTGCAGGAATGTTCTTACTATCCTTGGCTGCTAGGAATTTTTGAGTAGAAAAGGTTAAGAAATACTAACATAAGGTATTGCAGGGACAGGGGGAGAAGCAACTTAAAACAACAAACAAAACAACCCGAAGGGTCGACACACAAGATGGCAACAACACAAATGCAGCCTTTCTACACTTCCATGAGAAGCACAAACACACTTCTACACTTCCATGACAGGCACTGAGGCACTGCTGCATCCAAGGCCTCGCATAGGCCAGCTTTTGTGCTCACTCAGCAAGCCCAGGAATCAGGGGTGCTATGTCCCCACTTTACCGAGCCCTGCCACAGACAACACAGCTCTAAGGGGTGATGCAGGGGTTCAAGCCCCGGTTCCAGAGCCCACCTCTCAGTCACCACACTGCACCGGCTGAGGTGGCTTCAACCCACCATGTTCTTCATGTTTCCCAGAGGAAGGAAGCTGTACTCCTAACTGCCACAGGCACTATGGCCCAGCACTGTGCTAGGGACAAAAGCCACACTAAAAAGTGGGTCTCAATAGTATCTTACAGATCAGGAAACAAACTCCAAGAAGCAAAGCAACTAATCCCAACTTATTTTTTTTTTTTGTCTTTTGTCTTTTTCCGTGTCCGGCCACGGATCGCAACCCTCAGTGTTGCCCCCGTACCGGACCAGGGACCGGCAACGGGACTGCAACCCTCGGCGCTGCCCCCGCGCCTCGCTCAGCCAGTGAGCGGGAACCGGTCTGTATGTGGGATCCGAACCCTCGGGCGGGAGCGCCGCCACGCTTCCCAAGCGGCGCACTTATCCAGTGCGCCACCGGGCCGGCCCTAATCCCAACTTATATTTAAGTAGTGGGAAGGTACAGAATCAGGGTTTTGAGTCAGGTCTGTCTTACTACACAGAGGTGCTCCTTCCATGCGGCCACTAGGCCTCTTACTTGGACAGGTCATCTCTCTGCTGCTTCAGCTATTCCCATACCACAGACAGTCAGGACTGCCCTCCCATCACTCAAACCCCCACCCTAACTGGATCCCCAGCTGTCATGGAAAAGTGCCCACACCCCACCACATACATTTCACTTTCGACATGCAGAACCAAGGGTCTCTACTCAACTCCTTCCTTCAAATCTGCATGATTCTGTAAAGAGGAACTCAAATCTTGTTCACATTTTTTCAGTGTTTGTTCCCTGTATTTATATCCTTAATAAGTCAAACATCCCCAAAACCGGTCTTACATTTTTAGGTTTTTAAAAATAAGGGATGTTTGTTAAATGACAGTAAGCAAAAAGTCTGTATTTATATCCTTAATAAGTCAAACATCCCCAAAACCAGTCTTACATTTTTAGGTTTTTAAAAATAAGGGATGTTTGTTAAATGACAGTAAGCAAAAAGTGCTCTAAAATGCATTCTCAGCCACAGCATGCATCTAGATCCAGGGAGGGGTCTGGAATTAGCTCACAAGATGACTTTCTGACAAAACAGGTAAAGTAACTCACAATCAATGTCAGTCAGGCCCTAGGCTTCCAATCATTAGAAGGCAATGACTGTGATTACCAAAATCATGTAGGTATTTGAGGTGCTTTGTTCTTTATATAAATACAAGGCAGGGTTTCTCAACCTCAACACTACTGACATTTGGGGCTGGAGAATTGTGGGCCTGTCTCATACATCATAAGAGATTTGGCACCATCCCCAGTCTAAATACTGCAGCGCCCCCCACTCCAGTTTAACAATTGAAAATGTCTCCAAATATCGCCAATTGCCCGATTGAGAACAACTAGATGTAAAATAACTTACCTATGTGACCACAGACACATTTTTCTCTCTCCTCAGTTTGATACTTTTGACATAAAAATATTCAATTTGATATCTAAATCATGATAATTTTTTTCAAACACCTAGATTGTATTAAAAAAAGCCAACATCTGATTACTTGATAATTTTGTATTTGTATATATCTTTCACACTTATTGATTAAATTTTTCAATAAAAAGGAATAATTGCTTTAAAAAACCCATTAATGCTTTGAGAATGTGGTTATTTGCTTTTAAAGAAAAATATCTGTATTTATTATAAGTTATAAAAACTGTTCTTACTAATCATGTGAGAATTTTATTACTCTTAGAAAAACTTCTGGACTAAGAGTTTACTTTTAGAATGTTCTCTAATTCCTGAGATGCTCACAATAATACTATTTCCTACATATAATGTGATTTAATTCAGTCACCTTAGCATTATCTAAGGGGGCTTATTTCAGGGGGCTATTAAGAGACCCACATCTTAAACAAATTTGACATAAAATGGTTCCATCTATATAAAAGAGTACTTTAGTGACTCACAGCCATTTAAAATCTCAACGAATTTTGTTTTTTGGTTTTGTTTGGGGGTTTTGTTTGGCGGCTGGCTAATATGGGGATCTGAACCTGTAACCTTGGTAATATCACCACCAAGCTCTAACCAAGTGAATAACCAGCAAGCCCTCAACAAATTCTCAAGTAAAGCTGCACTACTTAGTTAACACTGAAATACACAGATAAATGAGTACAATGAAATATCCAAATAGCAATCATGCCAAGCCGGTTCTCAGAAGACCTTTTCAGCCTAGGACCTCCAGCCTGACAACAGAACCGATTCCTCTGAGAGTAGGCTACCTGTGTTTGCCAATAACAGCCCAGATTTGAGAAATGGAATAGTGAAAAGAGCTGGTTTGCAGTTCGTCATCCAACAATAAGAAATGACAAAGACTTAGACCTACTAGCGTCAGCTTTACTTTTAGTCATTAAAGATATACAATTGAGAACTAAATAAAAGCATAACCTTTTCACATCACAAAGAGCCATACCAAACTTTATTTATTTTTTGACCGGTAAGGGGATCGTCTGCACCACGCTCAGCCAGTGAGCGCACTGGCCATGCCTATATAGGATCCGAACCCATGGCCGCAGCGCTACCAGCACCACACTCTCCCAAGTGAGCCACGGCGCCGGCCCCATACCAAACTTTAGATGGCAGGATTGTAGGTACATAATAAAGTGAAGAAGCAAAATTTTGATTTGGCTCCATCAATAGTTTTTAAATCAAGCAAACTTGAAATGAAAGCTATATACATACTGTATGATCATTCTTAACGACTTCCTAAAGTTTAAAGTTTAGAAAAACAAAGTGATTTCTACTTAAGGACAAGAGTCATATAATTTTAGACATATTTGGAGTATTTGGTGGGGGGAAAAGACATAACTTTTAGGCTAATATTCTTGTGCAGTCAGCATGCTTTAAAGTTAGGACCGGCCTGTGGTTCACTCAGGAGAGGGTGGTGCTGATAACACCAAGGCTGTGGGCTCAGATCCCTATATAGGAATGACCAGTTAGTTCACTTGGGAGAGCGTGGTGCTGACAACACCAAGTCAAGGGTTAAGATCCCCTTACAGGTCATCTTAAAAAAAAAAAAAAAAAAAAGCATGCTATAAAGTTAAAATAATGAATGGAAAACAATATTACCTTTAGCAATGAAATGAGATTATCACTTCTTGCAAATAAAACATAGCAGAGACATACCATTTGAGGAGCAAACAAATCAAACCTAATTCAGGTTGTCAAATTGCCCAAAAAGGGAAATGGAGCAAGATGATCACTTTCCCATTTGCTTCGTATCAGGTACAGCAGCCCAGCAGCTGATTCTTGAGTGACTGAGAAAGGGGACAGTCAGTAGACGGAAATGCCCCCTCTCCACTATAGAGGTCAGTGCTCCAACCTGGCAGCACTGATCCTTCAACTGCTGCTCAAGTGGAGATGAAAGTTAACAGTGGCCAAACCACCAAGATGCAGAAAGATGTAATCAAGTGTAATTCAGGTGCTCACAATTTTATAGGGATTTCTACGTAAGACATTTACTTAGAAAGAATTAAAATTAATACACAGTACACTTTGAAAAACATAAACAAATCATGTTATAATTTAGGACATAAATTGTCAATATTTTACTACTAACATATATAGGAGAAACTTAAAAATGGACTTTCATTTTCTTGGAAAATTTATACACAGAGCACCTTTTTGTATCTGATACACTTTACAGCTTTTAAAATTTCACTGTAATCTTTTGTTTTCAAAAAAACTTAGTGACTTTAATAACTCAGGAACAACTGCTGATTGCATTATCACTGGACAATGAGGAAGTCAGATATATATAACTCTATTTCAGTCATATTTCTGTAAAAATGGAAAAAATGAAATGCACTTGATAACTTTTCATATAAAAAGCAAAATGTCTCCGTATCCTTAATAAGATGTCAAATGGAACATCTATGCAATCAGCTTCCCTATCTTCTCCACCCTGTTAAATACACATTTAAACGGCTGCTCACCTGGATAACTTTATAGAAATAGGCGTACTGTCGAGCTGTGTTTTTATACTGGCTGAAGACATCATGTATAGCTTGTGTTGACTGAAGATACCGAACCTCATCTTCTTCAAAGTAGAGAGGAGTGTCATATTCACTGGGGAGGGTCTGAATGTAGGGCTGCCAGAAAGAGTTAGGGCTGGCTCGTTCACACAGCAAATGAAAGGCCAGTGCGATATTTCCCATGGCTTGAAGAATTCGGTCTTGAGAATATAAGGGCCCTGAATTAACCCAGACGTTAACAGTGTGAGTGAGTTCCACAAGCTTCTTTAAAAAGCATTCATTCAAAATATTATTAAAACTATTTTAAAAAACTAAAAAGTCTTGTAACATTTAAAGTTATGTGCACCTTTCTTTTGACATTAAATGGAAAACATTTAATGCAGATTTGAAGGAATATTTCACTAGTTGAGAAAACAACCAAATATGGTCCTTAGCACCACACATGGAATTTTATATATTTTTTGTTATTTGCAGTTTGCCTTAAACAGTCAGAAATTATTCTCACCCAACACTGAATTTTTAGCAGACTCAACAGTCATTAGTAATTTTCGTGGAACCCATAAAAATAATTCTTCTGCCTAGGGGAAAAAAAAGAAAAAGAAAATGGTAGAATCATCAAAATATGCTACAATCCAATCACACAAGAAATATAATTTAAGGTTGCATATCAGCATTTCATTTCGAACTATTAGATATATATTTTAGATATAAGCATTTATATCATAGTTAAATGAGTGGAAGCATAGTTTAAAATCCTGTTTGCAGTAGAAAAACTAAATATAAATACTGAGAAGACAAATAATCAAAAAAGGGAATTTCAACTTAATTTGAAGCAAATACAACATTTGGAGTAGTATACAAAAGTGTTTATTTTATTCTTTGCTATACTTGTATTTTTAAGTTCTAAAAACAAAACAAAACAAAACAAAAAAAAACTTCTGCCTACAACAAAAAACCTCATCTGTCAACGTAAATTGCTCCTATTGAGTTTTTGAAGCCAGAATAACATTCCTTCCTCAGGTCTGGACCACAATCTGGAAAGACATGATCCTGAACACCATAATCCCAAATACTGAATCCCAAAAGATCAAAATCCCTAAAGTCTAAGATCCCTAACATATAAAATCCTGAAAATCACAATCCTGGAAGATTAAAATCCTGAATATTGAAATCCTGAAAGCTGAATTCTGGAGAAGGGATTATTGCATTTTCGGTTGTACACAGTAACATGACAGGTGGAACTATTATCTTGTTATTGTCTCTATTTGGAATTAAGCATGGTTTAAGGAGATGCACATGGGTGCCAAGTTGACAAGGGATGGACTTGTGGACATAATTCTAGGTGTCAACTTGTCAGGATTAAGGAAAACCTAGAAATCTGGTAAAGTATTATTTGGGGTATGTCTGTAAGGGTGTTTCCAGAGGAGATTAGTGTGTGAGTGTGAGAGGACTAGGTGGAGATCTGCCTTGGCGGGCACCATCAAATCAGCCAGGGGCCCACAGAAAACAAACAGAGAAGCCAAACTGGTCTCTCTCTGACAGCTGGGACAAACTTTTCCTCTGCTGCCTTGAACATCAGAATACCAGGCTCACCAGTCTTTGGATTCCAGGGTTTACTCCAGAGGACCCCAGGTCCTAAGGCTTTTGGCCTCATACTGAGAGTTACACCATCAACTTCCCTCGTTCAGACTTGAACTAAGCCATACTACTTTGGAGCATCCCAGGCTTTTTTCTTTCTTTTTTTAGTTTTTTCCCCACTGTTTTAAACCGTCAGCATTATTTTTTACAATTCACTATGCTATGTATTTCATCTTCACATCATTTCCAATACTAGAGGTATAAATTGTGTAAGGATTTTTAAAGAGTTCTAACTTGTTTTATGCATTTTTTGCAAATTTACTCCACAGAAGTGCATTATCATACCATTGGCTTTGCTTGTAAGCATTGCTGTGTGTATGTAAAAATGGTGAAACTTCCTGAACAAATGACAAGATGTCCTTTTTGTACATGTGCATTTCTGAAAAATAAAATTTCTTGACATCTCGCTCTTTCAGCAACTGCATATTCGGTCATGGAGCCATTGCAGATTTTGATCAATCTCGTGCACCTGAGTGTGTACTTGCAAAAATATAAAGTGACCTATGAAGTGTTCTGTGTTCCTACACATTTCACAAATAAATGTCATTTAAAGAATTTTTCAAATTATTATTTCCAGAGTCACATTTTTGGGATTTTGATCTTTTGGGGTTGTGATTTTGGGGATTTTAGATTGTAGGGATTTTGATCTTTTGGGGTTTCAGTGTTTAGAATTGTGTCTCTGGGGATTATGATCAGTGCTGTCCTTCCTCTACATACTTGTTTTTAAAGCACAACTTACCAGCAAATGCAAAAGCCCATAAGATAATTTGGTTTACTTTTTTTC